TCTAATTGCATCCTGCATGTGTTGCATTAGTCAATATGACATGAACTAGGATCACGCATGTTTGCTAACTAGTTTATTGTTTTGGCACGGCGTACATTGTAAGTATTTATGCTTTAGCATACCGCATGCGTGCGAGTGTTGCCATGACAGTATGTTTACCATGTGGCTAGATGCTTATGTGATAAATTGTTTGGATGCCTGTGGGTGAAGGTAATTAAGTCCAACTCTTCAATTGGCTTATTTTAATCTAATTTAATCACACCTAATCAGTTTTCCGATAATTATACCATAAAATCATATTAATTATGAGGGTCACGGAATATCAATCGGTTTCTAGTTCGGCCGCCGATAAGGCCTTCAAATAGCAGTTTAAACATATAAACATGAACAGATAATCAGACAATCAAACAGATAGAATGCAATTAACTAACATATACTCAGTCAATTCAGTTTCAACTTCAGTCGGTCGGTTCAGTATTTCATTCAGTTCGATTATCAGTTAGTTATCAGTCATTATCAGCTTCGTTTAACAGTAATCGGTGATTAACGGTAATCAATCGGTCATAAATCAGTAAACAGTACGAGGGTTGTTACAGTGGCGACTCTGTATCCGGCAAAGCAGTCCATGTTTGGTCCTACTTTTTCAAAAATCTGTTTCTCAAAACGATTTGCCAAATTTGGACTCTTTGGTTCAGATTAAGAACTGTGACAACAAATTGAGAGTCCGAACTGTAGCATGAGGCCCACGGGGGACGTCTACAGGACCCGAGACAAGATTTTTGTGAATGTTCGGGACAAACATGATATCATTTAGAGTAAGCTCCTTTCCTGAAGTCATCTTCAGGACCACCTTGGCCTTTCTCTTGATGGTCAGGTTACAGAATTTTCCGTGAACAACTTCTCGTTGTTTGTAACTGGCTCGAAGCTTGGAAACATCCTCTTCTTTGCACAGATGTGGCGAGTGGCACCAGTGTCCACCTATCATTCCCTCAGATTGGATCCCACAGATACATATCATTTACATCTTGGGAAAGACCCTTCATTTTTGCTATGTGAGCACGAGCCTTATTATTGAATTGCTTCTTCGGCTTTCAACAGTCAGTAGCCCGATGCCTATCACTTCCACAATTGAAGCACTTACCAGAAAACCTATAAGTAGGTTCTTGCAGTTTGTACACCAGCCTCTTTGCAACACCACTTCCAGGCCCCAACTTCGAGTCTTTGATCACCAATTGCTTTTTCTTTACCCCTGAAGATTGGCCATGCTTAGCTAAATTGGACTTGACAGTGAGGGTACTCCCCATTTCTTCTTATTATATCATTTTCAATATGAAGCCTAACAATGAGTTTTTCGACTGTCATATCCTTTCACTTATGTTTCAAGTAATTCTTGAATTTCTTCCAGCCATTTGAAAGCTTCTCAATCATTGTAGTTGCTTGGAATGATTCACTTAGGAGCATTCCCTCTGCATGAATTTTGCGCAAAATTACTTAGAAATCTTGGACTTAACTAATGACAGTTTTTGAGTCCACCATTTTAAAATCAAAAAACCGACCAATGACAAATTTCGTTGCCCTGGCATCCTTGGTTTTGTATTTCTTGTCCAAGGAATCCTACAACCCCTTTGCCAAATTTTTGACATAATACACATTGAAAAGTGTATTTGTCAAACCGTTCATAACATAGTTCCAGCAAAGGAAGTCTAATTGCTTCCAAGCATCTAGAGCCAAGAGCTTATGTTTATCTTACTCATTGTCCTCCATGGTTGGTGAATTCTCACTCAAAAACCATGCAAGGTTAAGAGTTATTAAGTAAAACAACATCTTCTGCTACCACCTTTTGAAATTCACGCCGATGAACTTCTCCAGGTGCTCATGATGGTTGAGCAGTCCCTTCGAAATAGAGGTCATAGTAGGGTTAACAATAGGGGTTGCCATTCCAGTTGATATGGGATTCGGATTCCCATCAACATTCACTATCCGAGACCAGTTGCAGCACCATCGGCAGCAATTGCCATTTCTGATAAAGACAACATAATTTCAACTATTTTGTTTTTTTAGAAAACAAATTAAGACTAGAAAATCCCAAAACATTGAATATTAATTCAAAATTAACATTCTTCACCAACTTCAAAAATTAAACAAAGTCAAGAAACTTTCTAGAAAGACTGGAGGAGTCACAATGGTTCCACTTAAAACCTAATTAACCTTAGACAAAACTTCCAAAACATTGCTGACTCATTGTCAATGAGAAACAAATTTAGAACTAAGTTTTCAAGGGATAACTAGGTTAATAAAACGTCAAGTCCCAAAACAGATTACAAGCAATTAAAAATTACTATCAGAATTACAAGCAAGTAAAAATTACTATCAAAACTTACCAATAATTAGACATTGCTACCAAACTTACAAGCAATTAAAACCAATAAAACTTCCTACCAAACCACAAGCAATAAAATTGCTTCAAAACAAATGTAAGCACAACCAATCCAATATGGATTCAAAGTCCAGGAATTCCTTCCACCCTTAGGTATTTTTGTGAAAAAATGGTTAGTAGTCCAAATTATATTTCAATGGATTTAGTTTTATTTTGTTCTTAATTTTCCTTTATCCTTTCGCTTCAGTAAATCTATAGAGAAAGTTAGTACAAAAACAAAATAAGGCCCAAACAAATAATTTAGAATTGTAAGAGTCTTATGCAATTAAACTAACAATTCTCAACTTCTAGCCATCTATGTAATAGCAAAATAAATTAATTAAAGAATAAAATATTAGACAAGTTACTAAACAAATAACTAAAAGAATAAAATAATAACACTAAATAATTAAATTAATTTTAATTCCCAAGTGTTATACCAAAATATTAACTCCCAATAATTTAATTGATTTTAATTATGAAGAGTTATAACAAATAAAACTAAAAAACCAAAAGACGTGCAAACTAAAACAAAACAAAAAACTTGTTCTAGTATTATTTTAATGAAATAAAAAAAAAAACAAAGAACAAGTAAATTGATGAACTAAAATTTTCTTTAAAAAAAAATCCAATTAGTTTGCAAAACTAATTTCTTTGTTTTAATTTCTTCAGAAACACAAATAAAAATCTGTTTTAAGATTGCTGTAAATCAGTTTTTAAATAAAATTAAACATATTCGGATTTATTAAAATCATATTTCAAATTACAAAATAGCAAATAAGTGAACTACTAAAACTGGAAATTACATGTTGCACGAAGAATATAAATAAACATAAAGCAAATAAAATACTAGAAAGAAATATAATAAGGAAAACAAACCAAAGTCTATGTATCTCACAGTTTCTTTAAAACAGATTTTGCTGCCTCAACAATGGGTGCAGGAGGAATGTCGGTGTCTATCTCCCAAGATACGATGGTGTATGACCGCTATAGTAAGAGCACCTTCTAAGTAGCACCAGTGAACAAAAACACAAGCAACACTTTCTCACATTAGAAGAATATTGTTTGATAGACTAACACAATAACAAGAGGGCAAGGAAAATTTTAGGAAAAAACCCAAGAGAGGGTGATCTCTATTTATACATAAAGGGGAGAAAGGAGGAGCTTTCAGCCATCTAACCTAGTCAAAAAAAGAATAAGATAAGTGGGCCATCAACCTGGCCCAAGCCCACACCATATCCAGTCCAACAAGTCGCAAGGCTCAAGCCTAAGTTCCACGAACCCAACCTTGTCTGGGTGAGTGGGCGAAGTGCGCGCGCGGCACTTTATGCATAACCAATTTGGATAATAATTTTTGCTTAAGCCCATCCTTGAAGCATCCATAATTCTCTTCTTTCGAAAAATTTGGATGACCCCAAAGGCTTACACCCTTAGGTAAAATTAGGGATTTAAATACCCATTAATATTTCTCTCTATAATTAATATGGGATAAGTGGTTACACATCTTCCCCAATACCTTATTCATAAGGCTAACTTTATGTGACAATTTTTCATTCAAATCTCAATGACTTTTTGTCATTTTTCTTGTAATATAAAAATCTCATTGCAAAGAATCTAGATTCACTAGAACTCACTTAAACTCACCTCAAAATTGGCAATTGAGACTTACTTTAATTTTATATTAAAGTCACTAAAAAATCATTTTTCAACATATACAAGGACAAAATGATAGTTTATTTATTTATTTTTTGAACAAAATGCTTAACTTGATCACGTGAAAACCAGCCTACAATGGCAAATGCCTAAAAAAACCCAATTAAGACAAATTTCATAAACCACAAAAGGAAGCCAATCTCGGCAGAAGTGGAGTGGGAAAAACGTGAGCCACCACTACAAGAAAATACATTTTTTGCGACCATTTTTGGCTACTAAAAAAAATTTAGTCGCCAAAAGTGTCGGAATTGGCTACCAAAAATAATATTAGTCGGCAAAAGTCAACTTTTTAGCTACTAATTTTTTCTAGTAGGGGAATGTAGATTATTAGTGACTAAAAAAAATTTAGTAGCTAAAAAAATTACAATTGGCGACTACAAAAATTTTTAGTAGCTAAACATATCACAATTGGCGACTAAAAGAAATTTTAGTAGCCTTTTAGCTACTAAATTGTTTAGTAGCCAAAAGAATTTTAAAAATTTATTTTTTTATAAATTTGGTCGCCAATAGTTTATTTTCAGCGACGAAAAACAATTTTGGTCGTTGTAGGTATAGATTTGGCTACTAAAACGCTTTAGTCGGCGATTGGAAAATAAAAGAATATTCTTTACCTTTGGCGACTAAAATTTTAGTCGCCAATAGTTTATTTTCAGCGACGAAAATATTTTAGTCGCCAAAGAATTAAAATATTTTGAGGAAAAATTTCAATTTTGGCGTGATTTATGAAATTAATTACCGACTGAAATGTTTAGTCGCTAAATTATTACTTTCAGCGACTAAAATAACATTTGGTCGCTGTTGGTTATCGTTTTGGCTACTGAAATAAAATTTAGTCGGCATTTGTCCTTAATTAATTACCCCTACACAGCCCTCTCCTATTTCACTTTCTCATCATTGATCTTCTCTCTCTCTCTCTCTCTTTCTCTCACTCCATCGCAGGCGACCCTCCGACCGGCCACCACCGTCGCACACGAGCACCCACCTCCTCACCGGCAATGATACGACCACCTCCTCACCGGTGACGGTACGACCACCTCCTCACCGGCGACGGTATAACCCATCTCCCCAAGAGTAGCATTTTTTCTCTCTATTTCTCGCTCGCAGCAACCATTGGAGCACACCTTGGTATTTCCCCTTCTTCTTCCCCTTCCTCCCTCTCGCTCTCAACCATTGGAGCACACCCTGTTAAATCCAATTCATTCTTCTTTTAAACCCAAATTGCTTTTACAAACCCGAACCCTTTCCTTTTTCTTGTGTTTTCTTGTTAGATTAGGGGATTGGTGGATCGGCTTCTGAATTCTCAGGTACCCATCTGTTAATTTTCTTGATTTAAAAAAACAAAATTATTCTGGGTATGTTTGTTTTGATGATCTGAATTCCCAAGCTAATGCAGTGTCTCATTACTATTAAAGTATCCCAAATCCTTTATGTGTTGAAGCCAATAAAATATGTAGGCATTGAAGTTTGGCAACTAAGACTCTTGACTCTCTATACTGAATGGTTGTTGCTTCTCATTTCATGTTTAACTATCTTTACCAAACAGAATGAAGGATCTGATGATGTTAATCAAGTCTTCCCCCTTTGCGGAAGTTCAAAGCATTATTATATATTGCAAATTTCAGGTAACCCCATGAGTTGTTCTTTCCATATAGTGTATACCATGGCCTTAGATAGTTAAATCCTTTGCTTAAAATGATTTTTTTTGACAATACAGAATTCAATTGGATGAATTTTTATACTTATTTACATTGCAATTTTGATTGCCTGGCTTTTGATTAAATTATTTATTTTGCAGTATGAAACTGATTTGAAAAGCAAATACTTAAGCGACAACAATATTCAAGCAATGGTTAGCCTCTCATATACTTTCTTAATTCAGTTGAATCATACATGGTTTCTTACATATGAAACTAATTTATTCTTTACTGTAACTTATTTGAACTTGTCAAAAAAAAATAATAATAATAATAAATAAAGAGTTACCACAGTGGTATACCCTTAAAGGATCGAAGTCGTATTCAGGAATCATTTTGTTCCAACAAGATAAGAGTGGTAAGAAATTGTTCTGGTTCACTTTGGCTTTGAAACTTATTTTCATTTCTAATTATGTAGTAAGATGTCATGACATATGGCTAATTCATGTACTTGAATTATTTTCTGGAAGGTTGTTGCAACTGTGGCATTTGGCATGGGGCTTGACAAGAGTGATGTTGGAGCTGTAAGAACAATGAACTTAAAATACTCATTTTATTTTTCTGCACTCCCCCCCCCCAACATAATTAATTGATGCTCAAAAGTTGTAGTTATTAAAAAGTTGGACAGTCAGGTTTCTCTACCAATAGCAGGGTAATCATATCACATGAATCATGTTGATATCTTGGTATGAATTTTTATAATGCTTTCATGTAAAAGCAGCACTAAGCAACATTATTTGTTATGAGATATCTTGTTGTCACATATACACACATCTAGCATGGCACTGCATTGTAGAAATTGTACTGAAGCTTTCTAAATGCTTCTATCTCAGGTTATCCATTACACTTTACCAGAAAGCTTGGAAGAGTATGTTCAGGTGGGTATTTGTTTCTTAACCATTGGTTCTTTGGAAGATAATGTTCATGTAAAATTTTTCTGAACAAAACAAATCATGCTTTTCTGTAGGAGATTGGACGTGCTGGACGCGATGGTAGATTATCTTATTACCATCTCTTTTTTGATGATAGCACATATTTTAAGCCTCATAGTCTAACATATAGGTGATTCAATGCATTTCATATTCTATTTAGCTTTGATTTATGGTTTTCAAGATCTGAAATTAACCAAAAATATTGTGCTTCACAGTGATGGTGTAGATGAATATGCAGTCAGCAGATTCCTCTCTGAAGTTTTTACTAATGAATTGGATTCACATGGAAAAATTTGCTCTTTAGTCAAAAAGCCTGCATCGCGTAAATTTGATATGAAAGAAGAGGTTCTTTCAGCATTCTACTTCTAATACTTAATGCAAATTCAAATTTCCTGATAATTCTTTATTTTTTGAAGAAAAAAAAGGAGTAAATTACATTGACCTTCCATGAGGTTTTTGATAATTTTAAGGACATAGAAAATATTGTGAAGCTTCGTTCATTTTCATCAGTAACTGCTTATTACTTTTAGATTTGTATCCTGGTGTCTTCCTCTTGGTAGAAATACTAGAATGATGATAAAACATTTTCCATTTGAGTTCACTTTGTCATATCTACATGCATCGTAAGACTTGAACTGCTGGTTTTTGACTGTGGCAGGTGATTCTGACCATTGTAACACATTTGGAGTTGGGTGAAGTGTAGTACTTGCGTCTGCTTCGACAAACAAATGTAACCTGTACCATAAATTTCCATCAGGTAGGTTGCAAATTAATTAAAAATCATGTCAGACTTCTCTTTCTCTCGTTGCATTCTGGGTTGAGCAAGGGAGGTTATTCAAACCTTTACTAGTTGCTTTGACAGTGCTATGTAAAGGCATGGACATGCATAAAGCATCAATGCAATAATTAGTTCTTCTTGTTTTATGCAACTGTAGTTTAGTTCACACACATAATAAAATTACTTTTGAATAACTTAAGCTACAAATATGTGACTTTCACTGCCTCTAGTATTTCTTATGATGATCTGTCCTATGTGAGAGATGGGGCACAAAACATGAGAAGTTTCCTTGGACAGGGCAGTGCCTCTGCATCATCCTCTGTAGCCTTGGGCTCAGCTAGGCAAACAGAGACTCGTGTACAGCGGCAGTTAAGTGGCAAGAAATCTGACATTGAAACTTACAGGTCTGACATAAACACAAAGCACCAACGTACAGGGTCATCTTTGTCTGGAACTTGGAATCAAACTTCCCAAGGTTTGGGTTTTGTAACAGGCATTAATGAAGAAAAATTTGAGGTTGCTGTTGCCCATGTTGAAAATGAGGTTGGAGGTGTAACAAATGTGGCTGCTGAAGAACAATTGTGGGATTCAGAAAGTGCAGGAATAGATGATACATGCACTGAAGTTGTATGCAACAATTTATGATGGAACAATGGTTGACCCTACATCAGAATTGTTGACCAATACTTTAAATGTCTATTCAGGAGACAGTTCAGTTGCTTCTTTTTCAAATGTGGAAGTTTCTGCTTCTTTTGGGAACGGTGAAGACTTCCAAAATGCAAGGAGTATCTCAGATCGAGAAGAGCGTTCTACATTAGAGGAAGATACATTGCCAAATTCCGTTGTTGATAGGGTGAATGTTGTAGAGGTTCCCAATCAGAGCTTATTGGATACAATATCAGAAATAGAAACTGAAAATGGTCATCTGGGTATGCCTGGTTCTGAGTCTGATGTTGGTTCCCCAGATACAAGAGGACCATAGATGAGTTACCAGAGCCTTCTCATGGTCATATCCATGGTCGTTAGAATATTGGGATTCACAATTCGAGATGAGTATCAACCAAAATGATTTGATTCGTGCTATTGAATCTTAAATTGGATGGATCGTACAATTCAATTGCGATTTTCTATGATTCACTGTGATTCAGTTATGTGCACATGAAAATGAGATCAATTAATTATATTGCTACATGTGGTTTTTATGTATTTATGTATTTACAGCTTATTATGGTGATATTTATTTCATTTTAAACATTGTGTGTTCTTTTATATGTATGTACATATATAAAATCTTATATTATGTTAAATAAAGTGCATTTTATGATTCACAGATTTGATTCGCATTTTGACAACAATGGTCACATCATATCTCTAATTTATTACTTAAATTAGAGATTTTTACTTCTATATGTCAGTTTTCTTTGATAACTCGGGTTCCACATACTGGATATCTGTCTCGTTAGTGTTGCATCTATTCTATGGAGATTCAAATATTGAATTGATGTTTATTCATTTGATAAGCTTAAAATTAAATTATTTATCCAGAGGAGCTTCTTTTATTGTTTTGACAATTATCACTTCCTAGCATTCGTCTTGAAACATTTTAATCTGTCAAAACTTGGCTTTATGATTGAATATGTATTTGGCTTGGGAAAACAACATGGTGAATGAATATGTTTTATCTGAGGACACTATGAATATGTATTTCTATATTTTTATTAGACATGCACTTGATTTCACATTCATGCAATGGTTCTGCAGCTGCCAGCAGCAGTGGACGAAGGGGATGGGCGAATGGGAGTAGTTGGCCCCTTCCAATCGAAGGGTTTTATGGAAGGACTCGAACAATGGGAGCTTATATTGATGCCAGGACGACATCTTGTACTTATTAGTACTTATTTTTGGATGGTTGGAACTAAAATGTGTAGTGGGAGTAGTTGGTTATTCCTGTATTATGTATGAAATTAAATTATTGACGTTGGATTAGACTTGGTTCTTATGGAATTTGTAATATATATATAATTGGAAGTTCAATATTATATTTTTGGATGGTTGGAACTAAAATGTGTGCACGTTGTTGAATGCTTGATAACATATTTAGCATTGATGGATTATATTGTTTATACAGGGTACAGGTTGTATTAATAATGGATACAGGTTGTTTAGAAAAAAAAAAATTTTAAAAAAAAACACATTAAAGTATTTGGCCACCAAATATTTTGGTAGCTAAATATGTAATCAAATGTTTTGGTGACTAAGAATTTAGTAGCAAAAAACATAACCCAATGCACTTTTAGTGACTAACACTTTAGTCGCCGAATGCACCTTTTGCCGACTAAATATAGTTTTGTAGCCAAATGTGTACTTTCGACGACTAATTATTTAGTAGCTAAAGGTGACACCTTCCCCGACCACAACAACTTAGTAGCCAAAAAGCCTCATTTGGCGACTAAGGTTTTAGTGGCGGAAACATAACATTTGCCGACTAAACTAAATTTAGTAGCGAAATGTAGTCACTTTCGGCGACCAAACAAAGTTTAGTCACCAATACTATCGCCAACAGGGTATAGGCGACGAGTTTGGCGACAAAATATTTTAGTCACTAAATCGTTTCAGCGACTAAATATTGGACTTTTGGCGACCAATATTTTAGTAGCCAAAAATGACATTTCTTGTAGTGCACCGGCCACTGTAGCAAAATCAAAGACATTTGTTTAGTTTTATTCATTTATTTATTTATTTTTGTCGTTTTTTAATCTGAGTGAGATTTTTTTGTATGAGCTTAGGCAAAAAATTCAATTTTAAATTTTTTTAATCTAAAAGTGTAAGTGTTAGAATAATATGTTCATAAAGACATCATGCTACAAAATAACTAAACTACCCTCAAAAGTTCACACGCTCATATTTATTCAGAATAATAAATTTCTTATCTATTCAAAGTTATGATAGTGTGGGTGTTTGGGAAGTGGATTATTTTGTAGATTTTTTTAGTTGTAGGATATTATTGGAGAAATTTCTTTTTGTGATTGGGAAGATAGTTGGGTTTTTTTTGTGGTTGGATGTGATGTTTGTGAGAGAAAAAGTGAAATGATTATGGGGTTTGATGTGATATTTTGTTTGGATTAGGTTTTTTTAGCTTTGTAACCAATTTGTCTTTTATAGTGAAAAAAAAAAACCAAAAAAAACAAAAAAACTTCCTTTCCAAACACTATGGTACAATTTTAGAATTATAATTTGTGAATAAAGTTTTATTTTGAGTTTGTGAGTTTTAGAATTATGATTTGAAAAGAGAAAATTTGTTTGGTTATGAGTTTTGAATTGAGTTTTGAATTTTTGATGTGACATGAAATAAGAAAAGTTTTTTGGTTATGAGTTTTGAAAAAGTTTTTAACACACAACTCAAAACTTTATCGAAAATTCTATTCAAAACTCATAACCAAACTCTTTTTTAAAATTCAATTCAAAAAAATAATTTGTCATTTTGCTCTAAAAAAATAATTTGTATATTTAAAAAATATCAAAAACAAATATATATATATATATATATATTTTCCAAATAACAAGTGGTGATTGGCAATTGAAAAAAAAAAGAAAAAAGAATTGTTCCGATCAACTAGTTGGATGACCGGCCGAACATATGGGAGGATATCTAGACAGACGACTAGGTAGACCAAAAATTCAAAAATTCAAAAATTGAACCAAACATGTTTTGAAATTGATTTGGAATAATGATTTGAAAACATCTACCAAACATAACATTCAAATATGAGGGTGAAAAATTGATTAGAGTTGCCAATCACAGCCATTCCCTCTAACCTATTCTCTCTCTCTCTCTCTCTCTCTCTCTCTCCATCACTGGTTAGGGTTTCCAATTACGGTGGTTCTCGATTTTCGCAATCGGAACAAGGCGTAGCGGCGCTTCCACTGAAGATGAGGCAGTGAACCGTTGGAGACGGAGAGTGGACCCATCGTTAGGGTTTTGTTACTGATCTTCAACGTTATTAGGGTTTCATCACTGACCTCTGGATCGCCTCATATTGCTATAGATCGTCTTCATCATCGTCCCTCGCCATCGTGTCCATCACCTCAACCATCTCCCTCAGATCATCTTCATCGTTAGGGTTTCGATTGCCCTCGGTGGTTATGGTTTCGTCGTTAGGAAAATTTTGAATATCAGATGATTTCCCCCTCAATATGTTAATTTTTATTAGTAGTTGATTTAATGTTGGACGTTTGATTCAGTTCTGATATTTTTTTTTTGGTTAGATCTGTGGATTTGTTGTTGTTGTTGTTGTTGGATCGGTTGTCTCTTTATATATTGAATTTCAATTAGTAATTAATTGTTTTTAAAATTTTTTATTCTTGTGTTGAACAGATATAGATCTTTGTGAAAACCCTAACTGGAAGCAACTTAGTACTGTGATAGATAAAAAGAAAAGGGACATATAGAGAAAGAGAAGAGCTGATGAGGAGTGACAAGAGATGAGGTGTTTGTATGATTTGTTGGTGTGTTTTTGTTGCAGTGAGTAATTCCAACTGATAGAATACAAGTTTGTGAAATTTTAAACAGAGAAAGAAACCTACGGATTTTAAACAAATAGAGAGAAACCCATAGATCGATTTTAAATAGATATAAAGAGAAACTCACAGATTTTAAACAAATAAATAGAGAAACCCACTGAATTTGAACAAATATACGAAAAAATTGGACAGATAGAAAAAAAAAAAAAACTCAATAGATAGATATAAATTTGAATAGGTAGTTAAAAAATTAAATAAATAGAAAATAATTTGAACAGATTGATATAAATTTGAACAGATAGTAAAAAAAGAGTGAACAGATAAATTAAATGATAAAATTGGAAAAAAAATATCCTTCAAAACTAACAAAATAACTTCTTACCAAACTATTTCACAAATGGTGGACCATTAACTAATAAAAAAATTTGCTGGATCTAATGCCTTTTACCCTCTTTTGATTCTATTTTTTAACAATTAACCCTTTTTGTATTGCTTTAAACTATAATTATGATAAAATATGTATTTTGTGTCATTTTAATTAAATTAGTTCAATTATAGATGACTCTAAAAACTCACTGAGTGAACAATTATAAAATCGGAAATGAGCCGGACCCCAGTAAGCCCTACCTCCACCGACCCCCAGTGCCACGTGGCACTGCGGGATTGGAAGGAAAGAAAAAAAAAAAAAAACTGGCCAATAGGGGCGTGCCATGTCACTGGGGGTCTGTAGCAGCGTTGTTATAAAATTTACCTGTAAGGTACAAATTCACTTCAGTTTCTAATATTTGAGAGAGTTAACTGTTAAGTTTTAAAATTTAGGGTGTAAAATATAAGTAGGTCATATTTAAGAAGGTTTACTATAATTTATCCCAAAATTAAGGTTAAGTTTGGCAATTACAAAATAATCCATCTTTTTATCTTTTTATCTTTTTTCCATCACATTATCTCTCTATTTTTCTGCACATCTTTTCGTAAAAAGACAAAAAGTACACTTATTTAGGTTATCCCAAACAACTGCTAAATCAATAATGTTGAAATAAGAAAATATCAGCCACTAAGCTTCTGCTTTTCCTTCTTCTATCTTGGCCTTGGTTGCATTTTAAGGCTCATTCAAACATCTGATTATATAATAATATCAACAAAACTTTGAGCCGATAATAGGTATAAAAAACAACTCATCCTCCATGTTTTCGATTTTCTTTCTCCTCTTCTTCTCTTTCATCAACCATCTCTCCCATGGAGCTGACACCATCTCCGCAAATCAATCTCTTTCTGGGAACCAGACCATAACCTCTGCTGGTGGGAATTTTGAACTGGGTTTCTACAAACCAGGTAATTCCTCATACTATTACATATCCATGTGGTACGCGAAAGTATCTACTCTAACAATAGTTTGGGTAGCCAATAGAGATAATCCCATCTCTGATAAGTATTCCTCTGTACTCAAAATCTTAGATGGTAATTTGGTTCTTTTAAATGAATCCCAAACCCTGATTTGGTCCACAAATCAGAACTCTACCACTTCCAATTCTGTGGTGGCTGTTCTTGGGGATGATGGGAATTTGATTTTGAGAGATCGGTCTAATTCAAATCAACCAATTTGGCAAAGTTTTGATCACCCTGCTCACACTTGGTTCCCTGGTGGAAAGATTGCTTACAATAAGCTTACCAACACACACCAACGTTTAACTTCGTGGAAGAACTCAGAAGACCCTTCAACAGGACTGTATTCTCTGAGTCTTGATGCAAATAATAGTCAGTATGTTATATTTTGGAATGGGTCTAACCAGTATTGGACCAGTGGTCCTTGGAATGGGCAGATTTTCAGCTTGGTACCTGAAATGAGAACTAGCTATATCTTTAATTTTAGCTATCACGACAACGAGAATGAGAGTTACTTCACATATTCTATGTATAATCCTTCAAATATTTCTAGATTTATTATGGATATTTCGGGGCAAATCCAACAACTCAATTGGTTAGAAGGCACAAAGCAGTGGAACTTGTATTGGGCTCAACCGAGACAGCAATGTGAGGTTTATGATTTCTGCGGGCAATATGGAATATGCAATAATATTATACAACCCTTCTGTAATTGTTTGACGGGTTTCAATCCTAAGTCGGTCCATGATTGGAATTTGAGTGATTATTCTGGAGGGTGTGTGAGGAGAACCGAGTTATTGTGTGGGAATATTACTGCTGCTAATCAAGAGAAAGACAGGTTTTGGGAAATTCCCAACACGAGATTGCCTGAAAATCCTCAATCTGTGGCTGTTGGCAGTGCCGCTGAATGTGAATCTTCTTGCTTGAATAATTGCTCTTGCACTGCTTATGCTTATGATAGTAATGGGTGTTCAATTTGGATTGGGGAGCTCATGAATCTGCAAGATGGTAGTGGAAACATTATTTATCTCAGACTTGCTGCATCCGAGTTTCCAAAGCCTAAAAGTAAAATGGGGATTATTATTGGTGCTGTAGTGGGTTCAGTTGCAATAGTAGTCATCTTGGGCCTCATTTGTGTTGT